ATTTCCCTTTCGTCGGCTATCGTTGTTCATATTATTTATTGCTGCGAGGTACGGAGACAGAAATGCGAGCGTTAATTGCTAAAACAAGGAAATATCATTACAGAATACTCCACCGCGCGTGTAAATAAAGAGAAACCGTACGCAGCGAGCTGAACGAGCAAGGAATGGCGTCGGCACGCTAGGGGGGGTCGTGAAGGAGGAGGGGGGCGATGGGCCGCGCCAGCGGGCGACGGGGATCGGAACGTGACCTACGCAGGAGATGTCGACAAGATGACAGCGGCCGTATGACTACGCTGGCTGGCTGGCTACGCCGTTGCCCGCCCGCGACACGACAAGAGTCGAGGAAACGTCGCTTCGCGCCGGGAAGTGCGCCAGGAAGCGGCAGCTGCGTTGAGTGCGGCGAACGGGTTGAACGAGAGACCTGACGACGCCGTCGTCGTCGTCAGCGGCAGTGGTGCCGCGCCCCCGTGCGATGCGCACGACTGGTGACTGTGGTGAGTGAGCGAGGGATCCCCGCGCGAGGAGGAGTCGCCGACGAGGAGTGCCGTCGACCTCCCCCCCCCTCATCCCCCGCGCGCGCGTGTCCGCGGCCAGCGGCATGAGCGTGTTCGGGGACTTCCAGCGTGTCTGGGTGCAGCGTTTCCCGGACAGCGCCTTGCCGGCTGCCTGGGAGGAGGATGTCAGGGCGAACCTGGTCAAGCACAAGCAGAAGGTGAGTCCGAACACGCGCGACGACTCTCCTCCGAGGAGGGATATCGTTAACGATTGATCGAAGTTGCTAAATTCTTATCGACGAGCCTCGCCGCCGCCGCCGCGCCGCCGCGAGGACCGCAGGTGCGACCGGATAATTGCGAAGCGAGGGAATCCGGACATCCGGATGCCGTGAAACAAGGGTGAAACCTGCGTCGTGGCTCTGGTGATAGTGTCGCAATGTATCCGCCGAGCGTTTATTAGTCACGTGTGAACGATCTGTGTACGTGTGCGCGAAAGAGGAGGTTTTTATTTCGTTCAATTGACATCCTGGAGGGGCCCCCGATGACTCACCCGTGTAACGGCCGGAGTAGCCGAGTTTTTTTTACGCTATGAGTCTTCGATCAAGTTCCCGAGAGAATTGTTGATGAATTTTTTTCTCAAGTAACAACGTGGGTGATAATAGATTGCGCGATTGAGAATGCAACGTTTGCGCAAGGACTGTGGGTTGTGACTGTAGTAAAGTGTCGCAATGTTTACCAGGTATTTATTAGTCAGACTAGGAGTTTATGCGCGTGTATTGGATAACAATTCTCTACGAAGGTTCCTTCGCGCCACTTGAACGCTTGATGTGTGGAGGAGGAAGAGAACGGCAAGGAGAATTTTAATTTCTCCGCTTAATAAAAACTTAGTCACGTATAATTCAATTAACACCGTTGTTCACATCGCTTGATGACTCATCGAATTAATTGTCCGTAACCTGTCGGTGACAAAGCACTTGCGACATTAGGATCACCAGTGGTATTATCATTCTCTTTAACATTTACATTGAGATTCTGATAAACGAATAAATGAATAAGCAGGAGAAGAGAGTATAGTAAACATTAACTTCCTGCTTGTGACTGCCGCTGAATCATTGCGGAATTATCTCTGGTCGTGTTATCAGAACACCGAAAAGAAGTTGATTATAGTTATTACATTAGGTCATCCTGAAAGTTCACGGCGTTACATATTTATCGATTTTTGTTTAAATTTTACTAAAAAGGCATTATGAATTTATTTAAAAAGCAGCAGAAAATTATATAACAATTTTTTTTCTTAATTAAAGTGTATTTAAAATGTAATCTAATATAAAACATATTTTTACACAATGCAATCTTCTTAAAATATAAAATAATTAAGAACATTTGCGATTTTTATTTTCTTAATGACAGAAACCTTTCGAACAATGTATCACAAAGCACGCGGTGTGTATTCTTTCTTTGCAGGTGACAGCTTTGAGAGAAGAACTCGAGAAGGAAGAGTTTTATGTGGAGTATTTAGAGAGATTGCTGGCCGACGTCGAGCGACACAAGCAGCTGGCTAACAATATCAGCGTGAATACGTCTGAGAATAAACAGGAAGCGACGACGGAAACGCAGTCTCAACAGGATTCTCAAGTGTCGGAAAACAGTTTAGCGGACCTTACGAATTCGCCGAGTTCTCAGATTGTCGGACCGTCCGCGCCTTCCTTGACGGAGCGGGAAGACATCAGCAAGTTTCAAGACAAGTGCGTGTCCGAATTGAGCTCGACTCTCGGAGCGGCTGGTAAGCGACCGAAGAGCGAAATACCAAGGAGTCCCGAGAAAGTGCCTGAACTTAGAAGAAACAGTGATCCAGATGTGCCAAGTAATTATGTTACGGTGATCGAAGTCACCGGGAGTTCGAAGAAGGACAAACATGAGGAATGTCTCAAAGAAGAGGATGAAAAAGGTACCTTTCCTTATATATAATTTTTTTTTATTTAACTTTCGAAACTCTGTGATCTGTATAATTGTTGAAAGAGAGAAATTCGAAAAGTGAATGCATTCAATTTTAATCTCTTACAATTTTATGAAAACAAAAGTTAATAATTTGATCTGCTCTTAAAGCTTTATAAAACCATCAATTTTATGTATATTATAAATTATTTTACGACATGTGGTATGAAATCTGAAAAATTATTATTATTTATTTACTAAATAGACTTAGAAAAAGCTATCAATGAAGATGGCGAAGACGGCGACGCAGAGGCATCGGAAGAAGAGCCTTATTACGATTCAGTAGCCTTGGATCAAACTGGGGAATACGTTTACATTGACGCGCGCGTACCCACTGTCAATAGTAACAATGGTAGCAAGGCCGCAACTCGAAGACCACCCTCGCTGCCAGATTCGCCGGGCAATCAGAGTAATTATGTCAACATCGATTATTTTATACAGTAAGTCGTTTATTATCTCTCGCTTTACTTTGATTAGAACACACTGGAACCATTAACTACGCGGAGTACAAGCGCTTCAATTACATTGTCTTTTTTTAAGTTACAAATGTACATTTATTAGATAAATTTACGCGAGTACTCCCGAGTTAAGGTGTGGAATATGTATATGATTGTGCGCATTACTTTCAGACACAGAGCAGCGATGGATAGCGAAGATGAAGAGGGTGCCAGTCCGGCGCCCCCGATTTTGCTACGTGCTCTCAGCACGGACAATGAAACCGGCAGCAGTGACGCCGAACCGCTGAGTCTGAGCGAGGGTAGCTTGGAATCGCCGACCCCGACGACGCCGCGTAGACAAGAAAAGAGCAAGGAGCGCGAGGACGACAGGACGTCGATGGTCAAGTGTATCGTGAACTCGGTAATGGAGAGCGAGGCTGTATATGTGGAGTGCTTAACTGTGATGTTACAAGTAAGTTACTCGACAGTTTTAAATTTACGAAAGAGTTGCAAGAGCTTATTCACAATGTTTCCCTGTTCTTGTAGTATATGAAAGCTATTAGGGCAACTTTAACGACATCTCAACCGGTCATCTCGGAAGATGAATTTGGCACGATGTTTTACAAGATCCCGGAACTGCATGCTCTGCATCAGACGTTTCTGGACGGTCTTCGAAAGAAGACGGAAAAGTGGGACAACAAGACTACTATAGGAGAACAATTTAAGGTAGTACATATAATTTGACAGTCTTAAACAAGACGAGTAAAAGTTGGAAAATCATTATTGTCACGTTGGTTTCAGATTATGGCCAGTAATATAGGATTATATGGTGCGTTTTTGCATAATTACGCTCGCGCGACCGATACTGTGCGACGATGCTCCGCCCATTCCACTCAATTCGGAGATATCACTAGAGATATAAGACTCAAGGGTTTTCCAAAGGGCCCGGGTTTATCTCTGGAAGATTTGTTACATAAGCCAGTAGCTCGAGTGCAAAAGAACGCTTTAGTTTTACACGTAAGTAATTTGCCATGTATGTATCTGCAGCATGTATAATGTAGCAGTGTATACAATAGGCTTGTATATACAATTTTTTATGCTCGATAAAATCGTGATAACAGGCTACGACAAACTTGAGATCTAGAAATACACTTTATTGTGTTACAATTTTTTTTTATCTTATCTTGAATTTTTCGTAGCGATAATTCTCTTATCTTCAATGGCTTTTAGGATCTTCTCAAGCATACGCCAGTCAACCATGCGGATCATGCGCCCTTGTCGGAAGCTCTTGCTATGACCAGAAACTTCCTAGACGAGTTCAATATTATTCAGACGAAGTCTATGTTTCCGGTAAGATTCACGTAAATTGCAATATATATATATATTTTATATCTTATTTTATACAACATTATGCGACTGTTTTTTGTACCGCCTGATTTTTTTTTCTTACGCAGAGTCACGATAGAGCCCAACGAAGATTGGTGAAGAATTCGTTTGTGGTCGAGCTGTCCGATGGTCATAGGAAGTTGA